ATAAAGAACGGCATACTCTATTACTAGGACATAATGATGCATGCAAGCTGCATATACACCCCACAAATAAATAAACATATTTCCTTATACTCAGGGAAATTCTAGGGTTTAGGGTTTAGGGTTTGGTGAGGGTTTAGGGTTTTGGGTTTACAGCCTGTTGAGGGTTTAGGGTTTTAACTTTTTTTTTTGAGGGTTTAGGGTTTAGGGTTTAGGGTTTAGGGTTTAGGGTTTGTACTCTGCTGCAGTAACACTTCCATCTCCATCAACATCTAGTCTTTGCAATAAGAGGGATGCGTCTTTCTCTGTTATTGCACATCTTTGTGTATTAAGAAAAGTAATTAATTCTTCGCCTATAAACAAAAAAAAAAGAAGTAATTATTAGGTATATATAGTCTTGTTGGGTTACTGATGAGGCTACTGCTGAAGAATTAGGGTTTAGGGTTTAGGGTTTGTGGACGGACAGCTAATGGAGCCTGTTCCTGATTTGTTTAGGCGGGTGAATGCATCAACAGGATGAAAAGATGGACAAGTTGCTGCTAATCTTCTTCTTCTTTCTTGCTGCAGATAAAAAGGAAGAAAATAAACGTAAAAAAGGATTATAATTCCTTTATTATTTATTCTTATAAGGTAAAATGATGCAAGAGAGTGTGTGCTTGTATTGACGGAAAACGGGAGGAAAACGGAGGTTAATAAAAAGCCTAGAGAAGATATTTCTCATTTATATTGTCATTATATAAAATATATTGAATTATTTAACAAAAAATAAATTATTTTTCTTCTTCTTTCCTCACAGCAAACTCGACTTCTGCTGCCGTTCGTAGAAAACGCGCGAGATCACAGGCGGTATGGAGGGTCAGGGTCATTTTATCATGAAAAAAAAGAATAAATAGGAATAAAAAGCAATTTAAAAGGATAAAGAGTTAAATTTAAGAAGAAATTCCTCTAAAATAGACGTTAAATAGCCGTGATCAGAAGAAAAAAAGTTGAATTTGAATTTGCAATAGCAGAGCTGTCGATACACCCGAAATGTGCATGAAGAAAGCAAAAAATCACGAGAGGTTTCTTGCTGCTAAAGGGATGGAATTCCTCCTAAATTTCGTGGATTATTTCATGAAATGTTTCTTTTTATTTATTTCAATTAAAATATGCAAAAGAAATCAACAGATCTAGTACAGACTGACGCCCGTGTCGCTCAACACCGCAAGGATCTACATGGCGGATTCCGTGGTATTTTCTTGCTTACTCCGCAGCAAAATAAAAATATTCATGACTGAAATATATTCAATATTTCGTGTTTCTTTGTTTCTCCCCTCATTTTACACAAATAAATAGCCAAGAGAGCCACATGCAACAGCTTACCAGCCCCGCCTCTGCTCCCCGTCACCGCGGTGACCCTTCATCAACACGAAGGGAACCATTGAAATAATTCAACTTGTTGCTTATATTTATTCAACTTTTTGTTTTATTTTTATTCATTTTCCTTATTTATTCTTTTCTGCATAGGAACCTATCTTTAGCTATAACCAACAACATTAAATTCCTTAGGAGAGTAGAAGATCATATAATATACGTAAGAAACTTCCCTAACAATAACGCCTTCTTCCTTCTATCTTTATACCTCATTAGCACAACTATATAACAATAAATATCCTTTTTTCTTTAATATTCAAGGGTATAAGAATAGGAAGAAAGACAACAGCAGCTGCTGCTGCTGCGGCTTTTGCTGCTGCTGCTGCATTGTTGTTGCATGCACACATCTCCCTGCAGCAAACCCTCCTATTAGACTAAACCCTAGATCTATACAGGAGATGCAACACAAACCCTACAGCAAACCCTTAAACAGTAATTAAATATATATACACAAGAGAGAGAGAGAAAGAAAGAAAGAAAGAAAGAAAAAGGAAAGAAGGAAAGAGAAAGAAAGACGAAGACAGATATGCACAAGACGCGAACCCCAGCAACAGCAGAAACAGCAGCACTCTAGGAAGGACAGGAGAGCAGCAGCAGCAGCAGCTGCTGCTGCTGTTGCTGCTGCTGCAGCAACAGCTGCCTCCTTATTATATATTCCTCTTCTACGTGTATATATAAATCTTATAATTAAATATTATAAAAAAGAAGAAAAAAAAAACAAAAAAGAGGAAACAAACCCTCGAGGGTTTTGTCTGCCCTGTCTTAAGGGGGCCCCAAGAAGGCTTCTCTTCTTGGGGGCCCCCTAGGTAGGGCCCCTGGGGGGCCCCTAGAGGGACCCCCCAAGGCCTTGTTAGAGAGGTAATAGAGGTTATCTAGGGGCCCCCAATAGGGGCCCCCAGCTAGTTGTAGGCCCCTAGATAACTGGGGGCCCCTATACACACGAGTTATGCGGTATGGCTGTACGACGTTTGTGTATTGAAGGGTTTATTGAGGGTTTAATTAGGGTTTACAATTAGGGTTTATATAGGATATAATTAGGGTTTATATAGGATATATATAGAATATAATTAGGGTTTATTTAGGGTTTATTTAGGGTTTACTGAGGGTTTCTTGAATTTTTTGAATTTTTTGAACTTTTTGAATTTTTAGGGTTTAGGGTTTTCTAGGGTTTAGGGTTTAGGGTTTAGGGTTTAGGGTTTAGGGTTTAGTAATTATTGCAATTTCCTCCTATAGCAGAGTTCCATGGTCCTTTATGTACTTCTCCCCATTGTAGACTTTTTAGTTTATATAGATCTATACCTTGATAGGCAAATGCTAATCTTAATTTATTATATTTTTTTTCTTTTTTTTTTTTTTTTTGCCAATAACCCCTATGAATAAATGCCCTTTTTCTTCCTTTTTTATCATTACGTACTTTATTACATAAATAACCCTTATTAGGGTTTAGTATATTATTTAGCCAACAACATAAACCCTCAGGTATAAACCCTAAACCCTTATATATAAACCCTAAACCCTCTATACCCATAGATACACCATCTGTACCTTCCTTACTTAAGGGGGGCCCCTTTATTTGGGTACTCGAGGGGGCCCCCATACCTGGTAATACAACCCAATCAGGGGGAAGGGGGCCCTCTCCAAGGGGCCCTAATGACGGCAGGGGAAGAGGGTCACCTAACAGGGGAAACCCAAGGGGCCCCGGCGACGGGAAGGGGGGCCCCCCAAGGGGCCCCAGTGACGGCAAGGGGGCCCCAGCGGCCCCGATGGGTGAACATGCGGCACTTGGGGCACTGGTAACTTCTGGGGGCGCTCTAGGGGGGGCCACCAGGGGGGCCCCCTTGGGGTCCGATGCAGAAGCTACTGCTGCTGAGGGGGGGCCCCCTAATCTAATGGATGACTGCAGCAGATGCAGAGGAGCGGGGCCCCCAAACAGAGACCCCTGATGAAGGAGTGCCGAAGTAGAGAAGCCAACGCTGCTGCTGGTCATGCTGCTGCTGCTGCTTATACTGTTGTTGTTGCTGCTGCTGCTGCGGTGTTGCTGCTGCGCCGCTGACAGCCGCAGCTCAAGGGGCCCCCGCTGAAGCGGGGGGGCCCTTGTGTTGAAACCGTAGAAGGCCGGGCATGCAAATAGATCTGGTGTGCGTGTTGCTGATGCTGCTGCTGCAGTTGCTGCAGATGCTGCGGTTGCTGCAGTTGCTGCTGCAGTTGGAGCTGCTGCTGCTGCTGCTGCTGCTGGAGCTGCTGCTGCTGCAATGAACCCCTTGAGAAGAGGGAATGCGGCATTTGCCGCCAGGGGCATTCGCTGCATTGCTGCAGCAGCAGCTGTTGCTGCTGTTGCTGCTGTTGTTGCTGCTGTTGCTCCTGCTGCTGCTGCTGCTGCTGCTGTTGCTGTCGCTACTTGGGGGGCCCCAGAGGCCCGCCAATATTAAGGCAACAACACCTTAATTTAATTTTATTGGAAAGAAGTAAACAAACCCTAAACCCTAAACCCTAAACTCTAAACCCTAAACCGCAAACCCTAAACCCTACCGCAGACATCGGACCACAGCCCGAGAGTCACCCTGTGGGCCCCCTGGGCCTCCCTTACGCAGGACCGGGTAGTGTTTAGGGTTTAGGGTTTAGGGTTTAGGATGAAACAATTAGGGTTTAGGGTTTTAGGGTAGATCTTATGTTATAAATTATTTATTTCTTTTTTTTTATTGTTAATAGTGTATAAACCCTAATGGATTCTCTCTTGCTGCAAACCCTAAACCCTAGTCGCAAACCCTAAACCCGAGCAGCAAACCCTCGATGTCCTGTCCTCGATGTCTTAATAGGAGAGAAACCCTATGCCTTAAACCCTAAACCCTAAACCCTAAACGCCAAACCCTAAACCCTTGCCTAAGGTGTCAAGCCATTGGATCCACGGGTTTAGGGTTTAGGGTTTAGGGTTTAGTGTCTGGGGTTTAGGGTTTAGGGTTTCATAATTAGAGGGATGGTTCTGCTTCTTTCTAACATTGGCTATGGGCAGTAGGGCTGCTCTCTCTAGCCGTGAGCTGCTGCTGCTGCCGCTGCTGCTGCTGCTGCTGCCGCTGCTGCTGCTGCTGCTGCTGGCTTCAGAGGCAGATGCTGCTCCATACAGGGATGGAGGGGGCCCCCTGCTGCTGTCGTTTCTGAGGGCCCCTCTACGCTCTAGAGAAACAGCAACAGCAGCAGCAGCAGCATCCAACCCAGTAGCAGCAGTAGCAGCAACACCTGCTACATCAAGGGGTACCCGTTGCTGCAATGGTGTAATAAGGAGGAGGGGCCCCCCTCTGGGGGCCCCCACACTTACACCTAAACCCTCCCCATTGATAGACCCCCGGTGGGGTTGTTTGTACGCACGTAGGAGCAGCAGCAGCAACAGCAGCAGCAGCAGCAACGGCAGCAGCAGCAGCAGCAGCGACGACGGCGTTAAAGGCACTGCTGAGGATACAAACCGCCATTTGGATGAGCAGCAAAAAGCAGCAGCAGCAGCAGCAGCTGTTGCTGCTGCAGGTCGAGCAGCAGCAGCAGCTGCTGCTGCTGCTGCTGCAGCAGAAGCAGCAGAGAAGAGGCGACTAAGAAATAGT